TGAAGCATATCTAGGTGCTTGCACTCCCCTTCGGTCTATTTCAACCGCATACTATCAAGCATATCTAGGTGCTTGCAATCCCCTTCGGTCTATTTCAACCAGATACCGGGTCTATTTCACCCCTACCACTACCACATAATATCATAAAATAATCACAGAACATCAGTAAATACTGGCATAACAGACAATTATCACAAAAACAATCATCTTACAATAAACATTAATTAATGGGTCGACCTTGGTGCCTTCGAACCACGGATACATTGAAGGTAACTCACATCTCGATCGGAAGTTAACTACTGATGTTCCCTTTAACAGCTACACCGGTGTTACTCCACACCCTAAATAATCGCACAAGACAAACCTTAGATGTGCCCTTTAGCACCAAGAGCTGACCAAAAGTCAACTCAGGTCAAAAGTCAACGCCTAAGGTCAAAGGTCAACTTTCTTCCTTAGCTCGCTCTCACGCCGTGGACACTAAGGCTTATGTCATGAGAACAGACTTGAACCGGACTCACTCAGTGAGTCGACTCAGCTTCAGTCGCCAACATGATTCTCAGATCGGGACAGTCGCCTAGCTTACGTCGTGAGGTTCCATTTCTCACGACGTGAGATCTGTTCATACCAACTTTGATCATTAAGCTCTTAATCCATTAAGGCATACTTTGGGACTTTCCAGAATACCTTCTTGGACCCTAAGCACCATAAAAAATCGTAGCTTTTCAGTCATGCATGTCCAATACATGATTTAAACACTATCTAGGTCAAAAGAAGGGTATTAAGATCAAGACTTAAGCTTGGAGTCCAAAACCTACACCAAAACTCAGATCCAAGGACTCTCATACAGAAGATGTCCTAATGATCCATAAAGTTGCCAACTTTATGGACCTCATGCATATTAAAACACCCAACCATGCAAAGAAAGGTTCCAAAGCTTAGATCTAGCATGCTTAAGGCAAAAAGATAGGATCTTTATGACTTACAAATGCTTACAAGCTTAGCAAATCCAAAAGGTAGAGTCTAGCTTGCCAAGATGAAACACCATAAGAGCCTTCTTCCACTTCAAGTGACCAAAAACTCCATGTAAGCTCTTCAAAATCACCAACAATGGCTCAAGGACTTAAGGATGTCGAAATTAGGATTTTTAAGGGGCTAGAGAGTGAGAGAGGCTGAGGATGGGCGATCCTAGCCCTCTCATTCCATTATATATTCGAAAATTAGGTTTTTGGGTCATCAGACCTGGATCACGTCGTGAGGTCTTATTCCTCACGTCGTGAGGGTCATGAACGCGGGTCAAACGATCAATGGTCATTCTCACGTCATGACCACTATGGCTCACGACGTGAGCCTCCTCCAAAATGCAAAACTTTAAAAAGGAAGTACCTCAAGGATTCGGATGCTACACTGATAATCATTAAGAGATCAATGTTTGGAAAAGTTGAAAGTTTCTTTCCTTTGCTCCTTCGTTGGACAAACCTCCATTCTTCCTTTCTAGTATTTAAGGGAAATCCATTGATTCTTCCAAAATTTTGAATGTTTCTTCCAACTTTGAGGACATGAAACATCAAGCTTCTTCTGATGCAACTCTGCTTTATAATCAATATTTTCCGTACAATTCTGGTCCCACTCTATCAGTGATGGAACCTAGTAATACGCTTGTTGAAGATATTATTTGTGGCTTGTCTGGTTATTTTAATACTTCTCTATATGAAGTTCAACTATCAGACATAAGCTCTGTGGATTGTTCCAACCGTTTATTCATGAAAGATAGAGAACTTAGGATTTCTCTTTTTGACTATGCCAACAATATTTCTTCCAATGTTCCTCTAGGTTTTGTTTTCTATTTACGTAATTTTGTTATATATGTAAGGAACTTTACCGAAGATGGGACTAAAAGTTTTTCGGATTCTTGTTTAGTTCCGGACGAGAATTTCATTATGAATTCTACAAATGTTTGAGTAGAAAATGGCAGACGCGGGACAAAATCTAAGGGGTAGCACGTCGGAAAAAAAGGTCATACAAGTCGTTCCAAACATCGGGCAATATGAGCGACCACCCGGGGCCCATCCTTCCAAAGGGCCCTCAAAGTTTCGGTCTTATGTGGTAACAGCTAGATAGAAAATATTTTACATTTCCTAAGCCCAAAATTCGTCATGTACATGTTCAGCAATGTTATGAACGAATGAGGAAATAATTGGAAGTCTAAAATCAAAAAGAAGGTTGAACGATGCTAAAAATAGGGAAATAAAATATATTGGAAACCGAATTGCCCCCTGTTGTTGAGAAGATGGCCTCAAAGATCCCTAACAACCCTCCAAATAACAATAATAGATAAAATAACTGGCCATAAGAATATACGTGGAAAACTCCAACACCGGAGAAAAAACACATGCCTTTAACGAAAATGATCAACTATATGATAAACTGTTACAATCACATAGACTAATCTCTTAAGCCTCTCCCAAAACTACACTCATATCTCCAAAGATTTGACTAACACTTTCTACGTTCTAAATACAATAGAAAAAAAAAGAATTGAACACTTGAAGTGTATTGATTGGAGTGTTTTGAAACAAAAGCTTTGGACTTCTTTTATAAACTTGAGTCTTCCCAAACTTTCACCTTTCTACGGATAGGGGATGAGAACAACTATTAGTCAAAAACTTAACGCCTATAACTCTATAACATTTATAAAATGTTATTATCCTGTAGATAAGAACAGACCAAAGGCCTTCTAGCCCAGCAGTATCAGGTGGCGTCTTCCCTATTTGAGGTCGATGGTTCAAATCATGTCGTGGACATAAGTGAAATTAGTTGTTAGTTTAAGAGTATATTATATATTTATATTACCCGTTAAAAAAAAGTGTAACAACACTGTGCTTGAAGAAACCTTCGTTTTTAAAGGGCTTCTTACATGATTCCATCTCATGTAATGTAAACTACCTCCATTCTCCTGTAATGTAATTCAATTTCCCAGCTCATCGCATTATATAGAAACTTAACTCCTACCACCATTTTCGGCATCATCATCGTCGGCTAACGTCGCCACCACAAACACACAACCGCACCAACGCATGTCGCCCTAAAGTACCCTAAATCTACAGTTCTCTGTCGCTTTCTCTACCATTGCACCACACATACCACCAAACACTAATCAGATCATAGTAACCAGAAACCAAACCCTAAAGAAACCATAAGAAAGGTCGTAATGGCATCAGACTCAATTGAGAAAACAACATTGGAGCAGACTGAGCTTGGAGATGAAGCAGGATCGCTGGCGGCATTCTGACTACCATAGGATGGATGGGCAGCAAATGTATAATTAGCAGACCACATCGAATATTAGAACAATGGGGGCAAGTTCCATCACTCAGTTCATTCTTTGATATTTGTATAATTACAACTTAAAAGCCGGATAAAAGATTGCATCGCGATACCTCTTTTAATAGGAAGAGAGAGTAATACATTAGTAAACTGATATTTCGAACTTATCTTCATGATTCAGATGAAAAAGCACACACGTTTGATTCTACTATATTTAGATAAATCCTATAGATGTGCAATTGAAAGGTTTGTTAATTTGAAGAAAAAAAACAAATGACTCTTTTGTCAAAGATGTACACTTGCAGATTATCTGCCAAATTCACTCCCTAGCGAGTCGAAGAAATTTCAATTATGTTTCCTTCACTCTTCGACTATCTTGATTTTTGGGTTTTTTTTAGAAAAATTGCTTTGTTTATTTTTTTTGGTATTCCCATTTTAAAATTTAATGATTATGATATAGGATAAAACTTATATGGCCTTATGATATCACCTGGCTTGAGGAAACGTGGAACCACAACATCATTTAAGAACAACCAAGTGTAGAAAAGTTGTGCTTAACATATCCAAATGGAAAAAAAAAAAAAAAGACAAGTATTACAGATAAAAATGTAGCTCCGAAAGGAGGCTAAAAGGCGATGAAAACATCAACTAGAACTCTGATGTGTATGTCTCTAATGTGTGTATCAGTGTATGTGTGGCACTGTGGGTGTGTTGTGGCATCAGTACAAACGGATGTAACTGTTTTAATATCGAAATATAAAATATTTTCTTTTAAATAATTAGTTAACCATTAAAGTGATAACATTACATATTTTGTTGAAAAATGTTGTTGATATTTGTTAGTTATTGTATTAAGATGTTATTATGAGATATTTTGTTCTTATATTTTTATAAAGTTTAAAAAAAATATCACAACATGAAAAGAAATACATAAAGTGGTTCAAGCATATTGAGCTAATAAATGACACTGATATCATGTAGCTTTTAACTATAATGTTAATTTGGTTGTAAAATGAATATAACTTAACTTTTTGGAATGGAAGGAAACATTAAAACCTACAAGATCACGTTCTCCTGTATCTCTTATAATTACACAGAAAGGTAACATACTTCATTTAAGTTACACCCCTCATAATATTATCTACTATAAGAAACATGTGTGTTACACATGAAAGTAGTAGTACATTGAGGTATGTTGCTATTATGTGCAAAGAAAGGATTTGAAATCAAGGTATGCTCCTATCTCTTGAGTAAAATGCTAGAAATAAACAGAAGTGCAAAATATGTTGCTGTTTCTTGAGTTAAATGTGAGTAATATACAAAGTAGGTTTGTATTTCTCGCATTTAATTTTTTTGACCCAACCATTTTGACTTAAATACAATATTTCCCAGTTTTATTTATAAAACTTTCAGAACAATATTTCTTTAAGGGTTAATTAAAAGATTGAGTATCGAAAGGAAACGGGTCATGATCACATTGATGTGGAAGATGATTGACATGTTGATGATGAAAAGCAATATTTGAGATTACTCCAAGACAGTAGTAATATATAAGATGCAATAATGTGTCCGTTAATAAGGATCATTCCAAAAACTATGATTATGATTAATAAGTTAAACCTTAGTGAGTCACTCAACTTCTCATATACATACAAGGAAAACAAATAATTTGACATTCATTTGAAAGAAGTAGCCTGCAAGAAAAGAGGGTTTACGTCCTCACAAGCAGTCCCCATGTGAAGCAACTCAAGGGTTTCAACATACATATTCATGTCAACTAAGGAAGAAGTATCATTGAAGTCCATTAGTCTTGATAGTTCCCCTGTCTTAGGAGTGTAAACTTGGATCCCTTCCCAGAAAGTGTCAAGCAACAAATCACCATTGTTGGTCACTTCCAAAGCTTTCCTTACCCCTGCTTCAGCTTTGATTGTTTCCGATTTAAAAACCAGAGACCAAGAAGCATCTGCATCTGCATCTCTCCTATTCCTCACCCAAATCCAAGTATCAACATCAGATCCGTTTCCAGAAAGCACAACTAGAGAACCTTGAATGATTCCTAGCTGTTGGGTTAACCAACTAGGTTTTGGCAAATCAATGATGCCAAATTCATGAGTGCTCAAATCAAATGTCATTATACAATGAAATTGTACGTCTTCTGAATCAGGAAAACAATGTCCTACCACCCAATGCAATACCCCATTGAGATAACACACACTTGATAACACTTTAGAATACAAAGGCATAGAGGAAGCAATTGGACGCCAATCGCGTGTCTTCATGGAGTAAACAAATGCACTTTCTACAATTCCTTTATTTCCATATCTGGGTATACTCACAACCTTGTTATCATCAGTGATTGGGTCGAAACCAAGTCCCAACCCTAGCCCATAAATGCATCTCCGAGGACAATCAGGCAGTGTTAGTTGGCGCTTAATTGAAGGGTTCCATAGACTAATTACACCATTTAGACAACCAAACAGAAGAAGAAGCCCATTACATGAACCAAGAGGAGTGGCCTTTCTGTGTGGAAACTGGACTGGTGTTATACCAACATATCCTCCTCCACACAATGGCAATGGCAATGGCAATTGGTCTTCTGCATGAAACGTAAAAAAGACGCCATCTCCATATTCTTCTACATGTTTATATTGAACTATGTGTGTCATGAAGAGTCTTTGTGGGGATCGAGAAGTGTGTTTGCGGATGAAATCGGGGCTATCGATACAGGAACGTAATGATTTGGAGAATGATCTAATTCGGAGGAGGGATTTTGGAGGTAGTCTTGTCAAGATTTCAACCATCAACTCTTCACATTATATAATCTGACATTGTGTAACTCTGCGTTTTCCAACAAGATATAATTACAATCAAAACCATTAGTAGTAGTAGTAGTAGTAATAAGATATCAAATCATCTTAATTTGTTGCTTTTCAAGATTTCCGAAAGAATCTTTGTTTAAACAGATCCAAATTACAATTTTGCTTACACAAATATTTCATATCGATTACTAATGCAATAGTATTATTCAGTAGATAAGCGTAAAACTTCAAAATGTATTGATGAGAACTTGTTGCATTATTTATTTATATTAGTTATCTAATTTTGTTCAAAGATAAATACAAATCTTACTTTTTCTACGTGGTTTTTTGTAAAAATACTCTGACTTTAGTTAATTGATATGTTTAGATATCCTATACCTATACAGAGGAAATATGGACTTGGATCATCATGTATATTTCCAATCATACTATTAAAAAATACTTATTTAAAACAATTCTTTCCGTTTTGTAAAAGTTTATCTATTTCTAAAAGCTGTCTTTCGTTGATTATTTTGCTGTTGTTTTGATGCATATTCCAGTTACCTACGGCTGACATTAACACATACAAAAACACAACTTAACCATTCATTCAAAGCTGAATGTCAAATAAAGTTAACATTTTTTTCTCTAAAGATCCTAATAGCGTTCTATTTTCAGTTTTCACATGCTACGGACATATAACAAATTGAATCTTTGAAACCTAAAAAAATGATCATAACAAACATATATAACAAGGCAAGAAAATCTAACTTTAAAAGGGTAGATGAATCACTCACCGGAGAAAGAGGAACGGGAATTGGACTGCGATCTTGTATTAAGAAAAATCGGATGAGTGAGGGACAGAGCGACTATTGCGGAAGGAATAGATGGTATAGACTATCCAGATGCTTATTGGGCAGAACAGATCCACTTAGCTAATCTAATTTGGGAAGAAGTGATAAGATGCCGTGGCTTACAAATACTCCGGGAGATAGTGGCTACAATTCTGCGATGACGAAAAAGTTATCGGCCGGTCGGTGCAAGGCTTTATGGGGCTTAGGGGCTGTTTGTTGACCAAGACCCTTACTCGGTCCGTCAAATTTTTAGCAGCTGACCCAAAAGAAAAAAGCAGTTGCCTATCTTGCCCTTGGCCCTAAAAGAAAAAATACGCATAATCCACAGATTGCGCTTCTCGTTCCTTGCATCGGCGCTTCCTTCCATAGAGCACACCACCGGCGACGCCTCATCATCCTCTACCGGCGGCAACCTCCACAGCAGCGCAGGTAAGCCGATTTTTTTTTTTCTGAAATCAGTAGACAAATATTCTGTTTCCATGTTTCCATGACCCCGATACGTCAATGCTCTTTAGTTTTATGAATTTTGTCTATGTTTTCTCGGAGGTATAACTTTCTTAATTTTTCTACTTTTCGTTGCATTTTTCTGTATAAACGTGTCGATTTCTTAGTTCATGTGTTGGGCATAGGACATTTTTAGACGATTGACGTACCACTTCACTGGAATTCATTATTTTGAGCTCAAAAGGATTAATTGATTTTCTTTTGTTTTGTTTTCAGACCATTGCATGAAGTGTTTGATGGAATGTTTAAATGGAATTTTTGATTAAAATGAATCTATATTGCCCCTGCTCACACCCTTAGTATAATATCCCAAGTACTTTTACAGTTGACAATTGTTCTGTCTCTACGGTGATTTTGCAGCCATGGTCCTTGCTGCTGTTTTTCTTTGTATCTTTGGATTCTTTTTGGTTATATTCTTGTAAGGTCATCATTTTTGTGTGCTTTTGATGGCTGTGATGATATTAGCATATAGATGAAAAGCAAGGGCCTAAAATTGATATCAGATGTCAAACCTTATGACACTGAAAGCAAAGGGCAGGTCATCATATTTGTGTGTTTTTGATGGCTGTACTGAAACTTCAAGCAAAACAAAAGCAAAGATAATCCAGACCATAGTCACAAGATTATTTGCGATCAAATCGTTGCGTTCCTAAACGCGGTACGATTGCGATCCAATCGTGGTCGGGATCGCATCTTGGTACGTGAAGCCATCGTTCCGCAATTTATTCTGGATCGATGATGAAATCGCGTTTGGATCGTTCAATAGATAGCCCAATTGCGGATTGGGCCTCCAATTCACGCGTTCACGTCGTCGATTTTAGCATGGCGGGAAATCTCGAGACTTTAGAAAATCGTGTTGCTTCGATTTCCATTTTGTTGCTTTGATTTCCGATTCTTCACATTTCAGTACCAATTAATTGATTAAATTAATTAAACTATCTGATGCTTCGAATTATATATATATATATATATATATATATATATATATATATATATATATATATATATATTCAATCGAGAACAATTTTTAATTCGAGAACAATTGAGAACAATTTTGGACCATTAAGGTGTTGTTTGTCTTTTCGAAGCGAAAATGCCTGAAGTCTGCGGACCACCTCTGCAATCATCTGTAGCAGAAGAGGTGGAACAATCGGTTGCAGCATTTAATAAAAAATATGTTTGTTTTTTAACGTCTGCAGACTGCTGCAGTAAGTTAAAGTAAGGCATGAAGAGGTTTGAAGCGGTTTGTTTAGTGTTGCGCCACGCAGCACACGCGCACCAGTTTTTAAGTCAGAAGTCTTCTGAAAAACAAACAGCTGTGAAGGGCCAAGTGCTGCGTGTGTGCTGCGCGCCACAACAATAAGTGGTCTGAAGTGGTTTTTTAGAAAAAACAAACAACACCTAAGTATTAGAAATTTAAAAGGCTTTATTTCATATTTAATAAAAAATGATTATATTCTAGTTTTTATTATTGTAAAACCTGTCACACACTCGTACTCACACTCTCTCATCTTAAGTCAGATCTGGACCACTATGATGACCACCGGACCACTGCCGGAACCACCATGACATCGCCATAAACCACCGTTACTCCGCCATAAACCATTGTTACTCCGCCGGAAAGCACCGTAACGTCGTCGGAAACTACCGTAACCCGTCAGAACTACCAGATCGATGCTTCTTCACTCTCTCCAGATCTACTTGTTGTCGTCTACCTCCGCCTCCCATTGTCGGAAACCTCCTCATTTGCCTCTTCACTTACCGTCATCTACCTCCGCCTCTCTATGTTTGAGTGAAGAGTAGAAGAAATGAAGGAGCGAACGAGGAAAGGCTCAGCGAAGATCGTGGACTCTCCAACCAGGTTGCCTTCTTCGTTCCCCTACACGATGGAAATCCGACCTTGACGGTTCAAGTATAGGCGATCTTTGGACCCTTATAGGCTTTGGACCCTCACGGTTGTTCTTCTGGTTAACCTTTACTCAGCGATGGATATCACCACATGTAATTGTATTATTCACACATCGATTACAGGTTTGATTGTGGCAACGATTGTTTATGTGATTTAAAAATGAAAATTTTGTTTGAAAATTTAGAGTGTTACAAGTTGATATCAGAACCTTGGTTTGAGGGATTCGGATGTATTCTCGGGTACGTTCGGACTCAAACTGAGGATTTGAGAAAAAAAAATTCTAAAAAGAAACGATTTTTCTAAAATGAGCAAGAGTTTTAAAAAGAAAACGAGACGGAACAGTATGTACAAGCTAAAAAAATTTCTAAAAAGAAACGATTTTTCTAAAACGAGCAAGAGTTTTTAAAAAGAAAACGAGATGGAACAGTATGTACAATCTGCCAGAGCCCGAACGGTGATTTCCCAAAATACCATTATTTGTGTATATTATGAGATATTTATGAGATATTAGAGCTGCATGCTAGAGAATAGGCTAGGTACTTCAGAAATTAGGGCTAGAGTTGCCTGATTCATGATGTCTTAGCCTAGGGTATGCTATTGATTGATTTTATCTGCTATTTGCTCTATGTGTACTGAGTAGGGAGAAACATAGCAGGAATCTTTAGAGAGAGTTTTGAGTAATCTAGGAGAGATACCTAGATGAGCATTGAGGAATCTACCGAGAGAGTAGTGAGATCCGTGAGGGATAGAGTACTGTGAATTAGGATCCTAGGAGAAGGACTTGGGACGACTACAGGTTGGTGTGGAAGGTAGTATTGGGCCTGTACTACTGAAAATACCAGATCTGTATGCGACTCAAGTAAGAATCTTAGGGATGCTAAGGAGCGTGTAAGGGTGGGTAATCGAGGGTGTGTGTATTGAGCTGTTCTCTGATGATTTTGTATTTGCGTTTCAGAGACACTATGGTGATTACCCGCTACAACCCCGGGGGCAGTGGTACCAGTGACGAGGAGATCTACAGGATCATTCATGAGGAGGTGGCCACAACTATCAGAGAGGCCATACCAGAGATGTTCGGGTCTATTAAGACCACGTTGATTGAGACATTCGACAAGCGATACGCTGCTATTATGGAGGCTGCTGCTGCTGCAGCCACCGCGACCAAAGTTGCAGCCCGACCACAGGGAGGTGACTCGTTGTTGTTCCGTGAGTTCAGCAACACGAAGCCACTAGAGTTTGATGGGACACAGGATCCGATCGCTGCCATGAGATGGATCTCCGACATGGAGAGGTGTTTCTATACGTGTTCATGTCCAGAGCATCTGAGGGTCCGGTTCGCGCTGAACCAGCTTCGCTTGGGAGCGAAGGACTGGTGGAAGTTTGTGACGACTGATTTTACCCCTGCAGATCATGCTGCATTGACTTGGGAGAGATTTACCAAGTTGTTCCGAGATGAATATGTTCCCCAGGTAGAGAGGGAATGTTTGGCATAAGAGTTTCTGTCTCTCAAGCAGAAGACAGAGTCAGTGACAGAGATTACGAGGATGTTTCATGAGAGGGCGTTGTTTTGCCCTGAGCACGTGTCCACTGAGCATGCACGTGTTAGTCGGTATTTGAGCATCTTGAGGAGGGATATTCGGGAGTTAGTGGTGAACTCGTATTATCAGACATTGGCTGAGTTGCAGACCAATGCCAGGAGGAGAGAGATTGAGCAGGAGATTCAAACCAGGGAGGAG